CACATGTTTGTTTTCTCCCACTTTCTGGGAAAATACTCCTCCAATTCCGACATTACTAGCATCACAATCCAGTATGTACGGCAGTGGGGGATGTGGAAGCTTTAAAAGTTGGGCTGAGGCCAATTTTTCTTTCAATGTCTTGACATCATGCTGGCAAGAAACTGTCCATTCAAACTTCTGGCCTTTTTTTTGTCAAATCATGTGGTGGAGCAGCTATAGTTGCAAAGTCCTTCACAAACTTCCGGTAATAAGTACAGAGTCCCAAGAAACTTCTTAACTCTCCCACATTGTCTGGTGTTGCCCAATCATGCACTAATTTCACCTTGTCAGAATTAGTTAACACACCATCCTCACTTAAAATGTGACCCAAGTAAAGCACCTCTTTCTGCAATAAGTGGCATTTCTTGGGATGGAGTTTAAGGTTTGTTGCTTTCAAACGCTTGAATACTTCCTCTAGCCGGGACATTTCCTCATCAAACGTTGTTGCAAACACAATGGCATCATCCAGGTATACTAGAGCTATCCTCCATTGTAGGCCTTCCAGTACTCTTTCCATCAGCCTCTCAAATGTTGCTGGAGCATTACTAAGCCCGAATGGCATCATACAGTATTGCCAGAGACCTTGGCCATAACCAAATGCAGTTTAAGGTTTATCTGCTTCAGCCATTTTCACTTGATAGAAACCCAACACAAAGTCCAGAGTTGAAAACCACCTGGCTCCACTTATGGCATCAAGAGTATCATCAATTCTTGGCAGTGGGTATGAGTCCTTTTCGGTTATACTATTAAGAGCTCTAAAGTCCACACAGCAACGTTGGGCCCCATCCTTCTTCTGGACTAACATGACGGGAGCTGACCAAGGGCTATTTGATTTTTCGATTATCCCTCCCTTAATTAGGCGAGCTATGACCTTCTCCATCTCTTGTCGCTTTGCTGGAGTTATCCTCCTTGGAGGGTCTTTATTGGACGGTGATTGCCTGTGTTTATTCTGTGCTCCACAAGGTCTGTTGCAGCCAAGGTCGTGATCTCCTTTTGAAAAGACGTCTGCATAATTCGCCAAAAGTTCCCTAACCCGAAGAGCCTGTGATGATGACAAATTGAGTATGCTCTTCTTATAGAGGTCAGTTAAATGTTCTGGGAGAGGATATCCTTTCTTTATTGTTATACTTCTTGCCTCAACATTGACTAGCTCTACCTCCTGGCACACATCCAAAAATGCCCCTTCCTTAAGTGTCTGCTCACATTTAGAGATATTAGCCACTGTTATGGGTACTACTTGATGACCTTTCAATCTTCACGTCCACTGGCCTGGATGGGTTTTCCTCTGCTTCACAAGCATTGGGCTTCCTTGGAAATGTTCTTTTTATTCTACCACAAATTATCTTCTCTGACATAGGGGTATTGTAGTTGACTTAAGCACTGTGACATGCAAATCAACAGATGCAGCAACATTTACAGGAATTTGGCCTTTGTTGTTCCCAAACGTCATTTTATGAAAGTTAACTACACACTTCCTCGGTATTAAGTAGTCCAACCCTAATATGCATGGGTCTTCAATGTCAGCAAAGTATACTTTGTGTTTGTCCTTTATGCTCATGAGCTCAATAGTTACCCACACTGGTCCCAACAACCTTGCATAATGTCCTGTCACACCACACAGCTTCTATGCAGCTTCTGGTACTCCTTTGTGATCTAGCACCTTGATACTCACAAAGGTTTGCTGAGATGCAGAATCTATGACAAAGTTGCATTTTTGGCCACCCAGCTTTCTTGTCACGTAGACACTTAGCTGTTGGGACTTTCACAATGGGGGTTGGTGGGCGTCCCTCAACACCAACCACTACTGGTTTCCCGAAGCTTGTACCCAGGTTTGTTACAGTGCCAGCAAAGTACCTCAAACCTCTCTGAAAGCTGACCTTTTCTGCCCTTGAATCCTGATGACTGTACCAACCTTGGTATATCTGTGCTGGACGTAATGTAGGATTCAAATTCAAGAGCTCTAGCCATTGCATCCTGCATAGTAGAGGGGTGTGCTTGCTTCACTTGTATCTTCAGTTGTGGATTGTCCAAGGCGTCTACAAACTGATCCCTCAGCAACAGCTTGAGGACATCGGGTGGCGCAGTTGGGTAGACCTTGTGTTCCATATTTTCCAAATCCTGTGCCTCTAGATTACATAAGATAGAAGTTTAATTGTGAAAATGAAGACGGTTGATAGAACATAGAACATTTTATTTACAAGGTTCGAACGTTTCGGAATAACTTGTTCCATCTTCAGCGTAATTTGAAAATAGTGTTATAAAGATGATTATTACTAAAATTACAATGTAATAACATAATCATTAGTTTACTTAGTACACCAGCCAATGTACACACCGTCCACAAATTTCCCCTCATTATCTCCCTTCCTTTTATGGGTTCGCAATCCCTACCAATTAAAAAACAATTATTTTCCATAATAAAAAACGTATATCCTCAAATTCAGCTTGGAATAATATACGGACATAGCCTCAGACTAATATACAGACCTAGCCTCAGACTAATATACAGACCTAGCTTCAGATTAATATACAGACATAGCCTCAGACTAATATACAGACCTAGCCTCAGACTAATATACAGACATAGCCTCAGACTAATATACAGACTTATTAAACACTTATTTCATTACAAAGATCAAGTAGCTAAACTTCTACGTTCATGGCTCGTGTATATGTGTAGTAAGGTCACGTACATTGACAAAACAAAACGCCACTTAAAGACTAGAGTCTGTGAACATTTAGGAATATCTAACAGAACCAACCATCCACTACTTAAACCCAGCCACTCATTCATTCGATCACATTCTGAAACCACAGGTCACAATATTTAACGATTTCTCTATCATCACCACAGTATCTTCAGACCTTGACCTCTACATTAAATAAAGTCTACTCATAGCTAAAGACTATCCAACCCTTAACAACTCACAAAGCTCTTTAGATCTAAAATTGTTCTACATTTTCACACTTAACTCAGCTGTTGTGTTATATATATAAACATCGTTTCATCCGTCAATTTACCGCTTTTCTTAATAACTAACTAAACCAATGATTATGTTATTATAATTTTAGTTATAATCATCTTTGTAACATAATTTTTAGATTTCGCTGAAGATGGTATAATTTATTCCAAAACGTTCGAACCTTATAAATAAAATGTTTTATGTTCTATCAATCATCTTCATCATCATTATAACTCTTTCAGATGTCGAACTTTGTTATTTAATGAACCCAAACCTCTTTCTGCCATCCACGAATTCTCTCTGAAGCTACCATAAGACTGTGAACGTTTTCTCAACAAATTTTACCACATTGATAATCAACCGATTTTCAAAGAAAGGTTCACCGAACAGAGAGTTCTATTAAGCCTGTAGAAAATGACATAATACAAACCTTAAAATCTTCTCAGTAATGTTACAATAATCTAAACTAAAATGGAAGAACTGCTCTCAACAACCTGTGTTAAACAACAATATTATAAAACAACCAGGAGGTATGAGTGAGCTACAACAATATTATAAAACAACCAGGAGGTATGGGTGAGCTACAACAATATTATAAAACAACCAGGAGGTATGGGTGAGCTACAACAATATTATAAAACAACCAGGAGGTATGTGTGAGCTACAACAATATTATAATACAAC